ACCGGCCACTGCTCCTGCCTTCTCCCCTCCTCTATCAGGCCTGCCTGCAGCTCTTGCCAGCAGAGGGGAAGCCCAGGGGGAGGTGAGGGCTTGGGGGGTCCATGGTGTCCCCACTGGGGGAGGCCCAGAGGGTCAGGCTTGGGAGTGCAAATGCCTTGCTGATGGTAGCTTCTCTCCTGTCCCCACAGAATGGTGCTGTGCCCAGCGAGGCCACCAAGAAGGACCAGAACCTCAAACGGGGCAACTGGGGCAACCAGATCGAGTTTGTACTGACGAGCGTGGGCTATGCCGTGGGCCTGGGCAATGTCTGGCGCTTCCCATACCTCTGCTATCGCAACGGGGGAGGTACCCAGCGGGCACAGGGCAGGGGCCACCCACTGGGATAGAGCCCACTCACCAGAGCCCGGGCAACGCCTCCCTGGCACAGACCCCACTCCAGACAGGCTGGCCTCTGGCCCTGATCTCCTTTGCCCCCATCCCTGGCTTAGGCACCCTTTACCTAAGGCACAGGCCACCCCTGACCCTGGCAGCCTGCTCTCTTGAGGTGAGGAGAGGTAGCAAAAAGCACCGTAATCTCCAGGGTCCCCTGTCTTATGCCCCTTGTGTTTCAGCAGTCCCCTGAATGGTTCAGAGACATCTGAGTGTCCCAGTGACTTGTTTCTGAAATTGCTTCGTTAAGCCATCAAATCCCACCCGAACGTGGTGGCTCTGGGGCCTGGGTTCTGCCCAGGCAGACTTCCTGGGAGCCTCTGTCCAGGTCAAAGACAGGCTGTGGGTAGTGTGCCTCAGACCCAGGCTCCTGCTCAATGCGTGCCACACCCTCCTCGGGTCCTAGCCAAGCACAAACATTTTGCCGTTGGGTTCTGAGCAGGAAGAGGGTGGGGTCTCCCAAGCCCGCCCTGAGCCAGCCCTCTCCCTGCCTGCCAGGCGCCTTCATGTTCCCCTACTTCATCATGCTGATCTTCTGCGGGATCCCTCTCTTCTTCATGGAGCTCTCCTTCGGCCAGTTTGCAAGTCAGGGCTGCCTGGGGGTCTGGAGGATCAGCCCCATGTTCAAAGGTGAGGGCTGGGTGGGGTACACATACACACACGGGCCTCTGGGGCCGTGCCAACTCACCCATCTGTACAAACACTGCCCACTCCTGTGGAGCCTGGAGCTGACCCCAAGCCCCCCATCAATGGCCAAGGCCATGGACGCATGCTGGGATTCATGTTTACTTGGTCTCCACCCTCCCCGCCTACCACGTGTATACACAAAATCCTTTTGCCCCCCAGCTTGCCCCTGCCAAGACCTCGACCTATCCGTTCTGTGGCCCTCCATGAAAGCCTGCCCCTTGGGCCCTTTGAAATTAGCCTTGCCTCCTCAGCTAGATGTGTGAGGCTGCTCCCCACCCCCCTCCCCAGGCGTGGGCTATGGCATGATGGTGGTGTCTACGTACATCGGCATCTACTACAATGTGGTCATCTGCATCGCCTTCTACTACTTCTTCTCGTCCATGACGCACGTGCTGCCCTGGGCCTACTGCAATAACCCCTGGAACACGCCCGACTGCACCGGCGTGCTGGACGCCTCCAACCTCACCAACGGCTCCCGGCCAGCCACCCTGCCCAGCAACCTCTCCCACCTGCTCAACCACAGCCTCCAGAGGACCAGCCCCAGCGAGGAGTACTGGAGGTGAGCCCCCATGGGACCTGGACTGAGGGGGGGACACCTGTGCCAACCCTCAGCCCTCCCTCTCACCATCAGGCAACCATCTGCAGACTGGGTAGGGTGCTGGGCACTGAGTGGGGCAGAGATGCATGAAGAAGTATAAGGAGTCCACAGGCAGGTCCAGGAGAAGAGGCTGACACACCGAGAGCGATGGAAGGTTGGATGTGGAGTTGGGGAGTCTTTATAAAGTAGCTGTGAGGGAGGGCTCCTGCAGCAGGGCAGCTCTGCAGAGGAGAGTCAGGGAAAGGGGGATGGCTTCCTGGTGAGAAGAACAGCATGAGCAAAGGCCCTGGGTCCCACATGAGCAGGGGCTGGTCCTGAGACTGAGGGGAACGTGTTCTGATGAGAGTAACGGGTATGTGGGGAACTCACGGGCCCTGAGGTAGCCTAGGAGAGGGCACCAGCCTTGTTGGAGAACTTATAAGAATTAATCTTAGACTTAACGCTGCAAGACAAAAGGAGCCATGGAAGTTTCCTGAGCCCAGGGCTGTCACCATGAAGCGGTGCTTAGGACAGCCTGGCACCACTGTGCTCTGTGGTGACAGAGACCAAAATCCCAGGACTGGCTAAAGGGAAGCTGCTGCTGGTGTTCTGGAACACCTGGTCCCAACTAGATGGGTGTGAGGGCATGGCAGGACATCCTGGAGGAAACGCCCCATGTCCTGTTGGGGAACCCCTGGGAAGAGGCTTTGAGGGCCAGTGGGTAGGGCTTGTTCGTTCATTCCACAAACATTTATGGCATCTGTGCTGCCAGGCCCCGTGTGCCCATGGGGTATGAATAGCCCAGAGCCCCTGCCCTGAGGAGTTCGCAGTCCGGTGGGGAGACAGCTAATCATATGAGGGGCAGGTACCTCCATGCAAGTATGTGCAGGCCTGTGGTGGAGGCACAAAGCGGGTGGTGGCAGTTCTAAGGGGATGAGGACGAAAGGAGGTGGTCAAGAAGGCTTCCTAGAGGAGGGAGAGAAGGAGGAAGGGATTGGGAGAGAGGTGAGCAGGTGAACCAAGGTGAGGAGGTGGCAAACCAGAGCTAGGGTTGGGGCAGGTGGGACTCTGAATATTAAAAGAGAAGGGCATCAGAAGGCACAGGGCTTCCCAGGCCAGGCTAAGGGACTGAGGCTTTCTCCACCACATGATGGAGAGTCACAGGTGAAATGGCCACGGCCCCAGGGAGGCTTGAAGTCTTAGCAGGTTGATATCCTCTAAGCCCGGTCCCAGTGCTCAGACCCTGCAGGGCCCAGCTTCCGTGCTGGGCTATAGACATTCAAAGATGGCTAAGCCATGGTCTCCACCCGTGGGGGCTCACAGTGTAGACAACACAGCTGCTGCCTCCCAGCGAGGGGTGGGCAGTTCCCTCTGGGCAGATTCAGTCATTCGGTCACTGGACAGGTCATTCTTGAGCACCAACTAGGTACCAGGCCCTGTACTCAGTGGGGAGACAGAGTGGGGAGTGAGACACACAAAGACACCGTCCTCATGGAGCTCACAGCTGATGGAAGAACTAAAGAAAATCACTACCCAGCTGGGTATCCCCGGGGGTGCTCCAGAGGCACACCCCGCCCCCCGCCCCGCCCCAACCCCCCGGCTGTCTGCCAAGGATTCCCAGGGCAGGGGGCCACCCCAGGCAAAGCTCTGGAGATTTCATCCAGTGCAATCAGAGGGACATGGCCCTCAAAGAAAACTAGTCATGGGTGGGGGGGCCCACTGGGTGGCCAGTTGAATTCTACTGCTCAGCAGGAGCTGGCGCCAGGCCTGCCTAACTAGCCACTGTCTCAGGCATGACAGCTTCCCACAGGATGGCTCCCTGCTGCCCCCTCCTGGAGAGCCTGGGCAAATGACCCTTGAGAGGCCTGCCCAGGCTGGCCTCAGCAAGAAAGTGAGAAGAGCAAGCACTCCCATTTCTTGGGCACGGACTATGTGCCAGGCATGTTATCTCGTCTAATATTATCCCTATTTTTCAGATTCAGAGACTGACCTTCAGAGGTTAAGGACCTAGGCAGGAATGCTGTGTCAGGATGTGTGTGCTCCGCTGTGCCTGGTACCTGGTGTGAATGAGGCCGATGATCCTCTGCAGGTGTTCCTGGGCCACACGCTCCAGCGCCCCTTTGGAAAGCTGCATGATCTCATTTGAGCCCCACAACAGCCCTGTTAGGTAGCTCGTGCAGGTATTACGAAATATTCCCATTTTACAAATGAGGAACGCAAGTCAAAAGCAAGATTTAAGCAACTCCTCTAAAGCAAGAGAAGCTCAGAGGGCAGATCTCTGAGCCCAGGTCTGCCTCTTGGCACCTGCTTCTGGCCCAGAATCCTCCCCTCCCAGCGACCCCTTCACAATCTGCTTGTACAGTCCTCTGCGTACTGGGCTGACTCCTGCTAGGAGGCCCTAAGCTCACGACCATGCCCCTCTCACCTCCACAGCCCCTGTAGTGCCCAGCACAGCACCCAACACCCAGTCGGACTCGGATCCCAGCACCCTCTCCCCGTGTCTTCATGGCAGCTCTGGAGCCACGGAGACTTCCCTCTCAAGTCCTGGCTCTGCCACTTACCAGCTGTGTGGCCTTTGAGGTCACCAGAGCTCGCTAAGTCTCAGCTGTTCCTCCAATAGATGGGGGTGGTTACGACACCTACCTTGTTATAAAGATGAAATGAGACAGTGCAGCATATATCACTAAGGACAGTGACTGGCACTCAGTGAGCACAAGGATGGCCACTGCTGGAGATTCGAAGAAATAGATGAGGGTGTCCTGTTCTCAAGGTATTTACCATCTGGTCGGGGAAATTTAAAAAATAGTGCAGAAAAACTCCAGAGATGTTATGCATCAAGAGTCAACGGGGAAATATGTTGGGTTCCAAAAGTTTTTAGGTTAATTGTTTGATCTCAAAAGGACATGGTCCTGGGGCCAGCCTGGTGGCATAGTGGTTAAGTTTGCACACTCTGCTTTGGCAGCCCAGGGTTCGCGGGTTCAGATCCTAGGTGTGGACACACACATGACTTAGTGGCAGCATCCCACGTGCAAAATAGAGGAAGATTGGCATGGATGTTAACTCAGGGACAGTCTTCCTCAAGCCAAAAAGAGGAAGATTGGCAACAGATGTTAACTCAGGGCCAATCTTCCTCACCAAAAAAAAAAAAAAGAAAAAGAAAAAGAAAAAGAAAGCACATGGTCCAAAAACTAAATATGGTGCCATAAAAAGAAAGGTAGAATTCATTATTTGGTTCCCAGGCTAGCCTTCTAAACTCTTTCATCCCTAGTATTGTACTGCTGGACTCTTGCAATAAAAAAATAATATAATGCTCGTTCCAGCAGCACATACACTAAAACTGGAACAATCCGGAGATTAGCATGGCCCCTGCACAGGGATGACACACAAATTCATGACGTCTTCCATATTTTTAAAGGAGTGAAAGGGCACGTGTGTACAGTGATACATGGTAATTAGTCTTTGGGTGGTGAACATGATGTAATCTACACAGAAATTGAAATAGAATGATGTACACCTGAAATTTATATGTTATAAACTAATGTTACCACAATAAAAAATAGTTTAAAAAACATATATATAAAACACGACTAGTGTAACATACATAATTAGACAAAGTTAAAAAAAATCTTTTGAACAAGAAATGGTTTCTTTACTTTGGGTGCTGGCGCTTGGAGTTGAAGTCAAGTGACTGGGCCCGGCAGCAGAAGGGCCCTGTGGCTATTGTGGAGGGCAGGGCTTCCCAACACGATGTTCCCCATATAGGTGCGCCCTGTCTGGGGGCCTGGGCAGCCCGAACCCCCAGCCCAGTGGCCTTCAGCTGTGAGTAGCCTTGTCTGTTTATCCCAATGGGCCAAAAATATTTTTTTCTGTGTGCCATGAAGGGAAAAAGATTGGAAAGCGCTGCTGAAGGGGACCAGGAGCCTCTCCTTGGTGGTCCCACAGCTCCTGAACTTCTCCCATCCCTGTCTTTGTGCTTTTCCCCCATCAACTAAGAACCTGGAGAGGGTCTGGCCCAGGCCTGGCTCCGATGCCTGTTGAATAAACCGTGGCCTAGCGGTAGTGGCGGGAAAGGGGAGCGTTGGGCAGCGCCCTCTGCAGGTCACCGTGTGAAGGGCGGCCTAGGGGGAAGATGGGAGGCTGGGAGGAGGCAGGCCAAGGTGCTTGCAAGTCTAACATCAGGCAGGCTGGCCAAACAAACCCCAAGACCAGGCCTGGCAACATTGTCCCCTAAGGGCCCAGAGTAACCTCCCATCACAAGGTATGAAAAATGTCGCCATGAGGTTTAAGAACTAATTTGGGGAAAAAAATTGAAAACAGCTAAGAATGATAGAGGACAGCCTCTGAGCTCTGCTGAGAAGTCCTAGCTGTCAGAGGGGAAGGAGGGAGACTGTGTTTCCCTAAATTTATCTACGAGTTGTCCTAGGTTGGCGTTACTGTGCCCATTTATACAGATGAGGAAACTGAGGCTCGAGAGCTTGTCTCTTGCTCATCCCTTCTAGCCTGGACAACTGCAAACCAAACTGGTCTCCCTCCAGGTTCTCCCCTTTTTACCTCCCAATCCATTGGCCACAGTCTTCATTCATTCATTCATTCAACAAATATTTATTGAGCACTGCCCTGTGCCAGGCACCAGTGCCAGGCACCGGACGTACAGCAGTGAACAAAATGGACCAAACCCCTGCCTTCAGAGAGGACAGATGACAAACAGAACAAATAGGTAAGATTTACAGTGTGGTAGAAGGAGACATGCGCTGTAGAGGAAAATAGAGCAGAGAAGAGGGTAAGGCGGACCGGGCTGGGGCCAGGGCTGCAATTTTAAGTAGGGTAGCCAGGAAAGGCCCCTTTGAGCAGAGTACGGACCTGAAGGAAGTGAGGGGGGAGGGAGCTATGTTGACAAGCCCAGCTGCATAATTTGTGGGGCCCAGTGCAAAATAAAAATATGGGGCCCCTTGTTCAAATGTATCAAGATGGCAATGGCAGAGCATTAAATCAAGCACAAGGCCCTTCTAAGCGTGGAGCCCTGTGGGATTGCACAGGTCTCCCAGCCATGTGCACATATGGATATTTGGGGAAAGAGCACTCGAGACCTAGAATAACATGTGCAAAGGCCCTGAGGCGGGGGCATGCCTGCCATATTTAAGGAACAGTAAGGAGCCCAGTTCAGCTGGAGCAGTAAGCAGCTGGGAGAGGAGGAGGAGAGGAGATCAGAGGGATGGCAGGCAGAGGTAGTGGACCACGTAGCCGTGGTAAGAACTTTGGCTTTTCTGTGGTGAGAGATGGGAGCTGCGGCAAGGTTTTGAGCCGAGGCGAGACCCTGAGAGTGCTCTTCTAAAAACCCTTCAGAAGCTTCCCATGGCCCTCGGGATAAAATTCAAACTTCTCAGCGTTGACTTCATGGTTTCTTACGATCTGGTCCCTTCCTGTCCCTCAGCCTTCCCTCTTCCCTTCACCTTCTCTTCCAGCCTCCCTGAGCTGCCTACGTGCCCAGGCTGGCCGTGCTTCTGGCCCCCCAGCCATACCCCCGTCTTGCTGCTGCTCTTTCCCGGCCTGGCATGCGCTTCCCCTCTTCTCCCACCTCCTCCCCATTCTTCGAACTTTAGCTCAAGCTCCAACTTTGGTGGGAAGCCTTCCAGCATGCCCCTCTGCATGGGGTAGAGGTGCCCCTCCTGGCGGGGCCCACAGCATCCCGGACTCAGCTCTGCTCTGGTCCTTCCCACTGGAGCAGTCCCATATGCTCTCCCCCGCCCTCTTCCCTGAGGGCTGGGACAATGCCTGATCCAGGTCTACACACCCTGCACCTAGCACAGCGCCTGGCACATAAGTGACTGAAAGAGCACAGCTGGCGTGGCAGAGGGTGCCAGATGGAGCTATGCACACACTGGGGAGGAAGCGGGCTTCGGGGCTAAGCCTGCATGCTCCAGAGCCTCCAAGCTTTACTCAGCACTCTGCTGGCTCCCGTGGTTCATCAGAGATGGAGGAGACTAGTGGGTGAAAAGCTCACAGAAGGCTTCCTGGAAGATGTGGCACCTGATAGGCTGTGTCCAGTCTGGAGGGGAGGGCATTCCTGAAGGGAGAAATGCACAAGCAAGGGCCTGGGGTGAGCCTGAGCAGGGACAGGGAGCCCTCTGCACCCCAAGGGCCGAGGAGGCTGGCCCTGGTGGGGGGTGCAGCAGGCAGAGGGGCCTAGGTCGGTGGAGCTGAGTCTGGGGCCCCAGAGTGGCTCCCGTCTCATGGTGTGGGCTGCTGGGACCTCCTGAGAAAGGACGCTGGGCCCTGGGCTTTGGGAATTTGTCGCTGGGCGGTGGAGGCTGGCCCGCAATGACAGAGCATCTCCTTCCCCAGGCGCTACGTGCTGAAGCTGTCAGATGACATCGGGAACTTTGGGGAGGTACGAATGCCCCTCCTCGGCTGCCTTGGTGTCTCCTGGGTGGTCGTCTTTCTCTGCCTCATCCGAGGGGTCAAGTCTTCAGGGAAAGTAAGTACCCCTCCCCCCGCACAGTCTGTGCCCACCCAGAAAGATCCTGCCTCCCCGACCTGGGATATGTGTGTGTGTGTGTGTGTGCGTGTGAGTGTGTGTTGGGGATGGGGGTGGTGATGAAGGGACACCGGAGGGGACAAGGGACCAGAGGGCCAGTGGTGTTTGGGGACCAGGGAGGTCGCCTCCAGAGCAGGAAGACCCCAAAGGAACCCAGTGGAGCCTGTCTTGCGCCCAGGTGGTGTACTTCACGGCCACGTTTCCCTATGTGGTGCTGACCATCCTGTTCGTCCGTGGCGTGACCCTGGAGGGAGCCTTCACGGGCATCATGTACTACCTGACCCCACAGTGGGACAAGATCCTGGAGGCCAAGGTGTGATGTGGAGGGTGACCCGGAAGGGCCGGGCAGGGGCACATAGGCTCCTGCCTCTGACCACGGCTCCTCTGTGGCCCATCGCTCTCTGCAGGTGTGGGGGGATGCCGCCTCCCAGATCTTCTACTCGCTGGGCTGCGCGTGGGGAGGCCTCATCACCATGGCTTCCTACAACAAGTTCCACAACAACTGTTACCGGTGAGACTCCCTGCCAGCCCTGGGGCTGCCCCCCGTTCCCTGCCCTCTCTGCAGCCTGATCCTCGCTCGCCCAGAGCCCCCAGATCCAGCGCAGCCTCCTGGCCCGCCAGGGCCCTCCATTCCACTCACAGCCTTGAGGTCCTGGGAACCTGGGTCTGGACTGAGTCAGTGGAGAGCAGAGAGAGAAGCTTAGCAGGAGAGAGAAGAAGGGTGGGGACCGGGATGCCCCAGGTCTATGAGGACCCAAGAGCCTCAGGCCCACTTGAAAAGGCCCAGAGCAGACCAGAAAAGAAGTTGGCGGCAGCTTTGTTCCTAGAACTTTCCGTGTCTCCACGTCTTCTCTTGGTCTGCACAGAGTCAGACAGGGCAGAGGGAAGCAGATGCATGTCCTGAACTCTCCCTGTTTTCCTCCCGACCAGGGACAGCATTATCATCAGCATCACTAACTGTGCCACCAGTGTCTATGCTGGCTTTGTCATCTTCTCCATCCTGGGCTTCATGGCCAATCATCTTGGTGTGGACGTGTCCCGCGTGGCAGACCACGGCCCCGGCCTGGCCTTCGTGGCTTACCCTGAGGCCCTCACATTGCTGCCCATCTCCCCGCTCTGGTCCCTGCTTTTCTTCTTCATGCTCATCTTGCTGGGACTGGGCACTCAGGTACGAGGTGCAGGATGAGGCCAGGGGCTTGCGGAGGGAGGAGGCAGGGGCAGAGGTCAGGCCCCTGCTCTGATGGCCGCATCCCGCAGTTCTGCCTCCTAGAGACGCTAGTCACAGCCATTGTGGATGAGGTGGGGAATGAGTGGATCCTAAAGAAAAAGACCTACGTGACCTTGGGTGTGGCTGTGGCTGGCTTCCTGCTGGGCATCCCCCTCACCAGCCAGGTAAAAACCGAGGGAAAGGCTGGGCTGGAGTTCCTGGGGGGTGGGGTGCAGTGGGTAGTGTGTAGGGGAGCCTAGCCTCAGGCACCCCCAATTCACCAACTCAGCTACCCACTGGCCCGTAGGCAGGCATCTACTGGCTGCTGCTGATGGACAACTATGCAGCCAGCTTCTCCTTGGTCGTCATCTCCTGCATCATGTGTGTGTCCATCATGTACATCTATGGTAAGCGCCCAAGCTTCCGTGGCCTCCCATGTCCCAGCCCCTGGCCTGCCCATGCCATCCTGCCAGGCCCACTGAGCCCTCCTCTCTCCAGGGCATCGGAACTACTTCCAGGACATCCAGATGATGCTGGGGTTCCCACCGCCCCTCTTCTTCCAGATCTGCTGGCGCTTTGTCTCTCCAGCTATCATCTTTGTAAGTTAGTTCCTTGGCGGGCCCCTCCCTTCCCCTGCTGCCCCTTGGCATGTGTCCTTCTCTTAGAACCCAGTGGAGGGAGAGCAGGAGCCCATCCATTTGGCCAGAGCTCCCAGTGAGGTTCCACACCTGCAGCTCTGGCCATTGAAAGGTTGTGGGGGGCTGCATAGAGTCAGACAGGTGTGCGGAGACTCAGAACCACCCGGGCCCTGGCCTCACATTAGGAAGGGAGCTTAGGGCCTTGTATTTGACTGAAGACATCGCCCAGCCTCGGAAGGGGAAAGCAGGCTGCTGGCCACTGAGAGTCAGCACTCTAAAGGGGCCTCAGGAACCATCACTGATATTAGTGTCAGCCTCGCAGAGCTCCTGACTGCAACCCCTCATAGCCCCAGGGTGCCCGGGGTACGTGGGTGAATGCATCAGTGTTCCAGAAGCAGGCTGTACAAGTCAGATGTCAGCTCAGGGCCAGGGGCAACCTCGTAAGCCTTCCAGGCGCTGCAGTGGGCTGGTTTAGGAGAGGGAATTCGTGGCTTCCACCAGTATTCGACACCTGGGAAACTCCCATCAAGGAGCAGAATTGGTGGAGGGAATGCCCACCATGGCCGGGAACCAGGCACTTTCTGCATGCTGCTCATATACTGACTTGTAATGCAACTCTCCAATATTATCCCCACTTTACAGATGAGGAAACTGAGGAACAGAAATGTTAAGTAATTACCCCAAGAATACACAGCAAATAAGAGGCAGAGCCACCACTCAAAGCAAGTGGTCCAATGTGGAGGCTGTGTGCTGGGCCAGTGCTACTCTAGAAACAACTATGGGAAGGAGGATTGGTCCCTGGGCTAAAAACCATCTGATTTTGCTCCTTTAGGCTCAGGGTGGGAAGGGAGGGCACCAGGGGTTTGATAGTATAATGGTCACCCCGCAGAGAAGAGGCAGGGCCGGCTCTGAGTGACAGAGGGGTCAGCCCAGTGGCAAAGACAGTGTCCAGAGTCATGCCCCTGTCATGCCCAGCTCCTCTGTGCTGTGGGGAGCTCAGCACTGTATTTCCACTTTGGCTCATGTTTCTGAAAAAGGGAAAAAAAAAAAAGCCCCTGAGGGCTGAGGCTTCTCCCACATGGGGTGTGGGATCTTCCCGAGGCTGGCAGAGGCGCCGGCTCTGGCCACTGGCCCAGCTCTGAAACAGGAGGAGCAGCAGTCGCCTGTAAGTGGTGGGAGGCCGGGGAGGGCAGGCACCACCGCAAGCACCGTGCCCTCTGGGGGTTGTGGCTGATCCCCAGGCTTAGGCCCTGCCCGAGGGAAGCTCATCGATCCACAGCTCTGAGGAGGCGGCCACCCCGGGGAGAGACCTGGGGCACCAGCCAGGGCAGGGCAGGAGTCAGGAAGGAGATGATAGGCACCAGTAGGTTCCACAGGGGAAGCCTCAGCCTGGGTCCAATGTCTCCACGAGATTGAGGCAAAGTGGGCAGTGCCCTCTGCACTCAGAAAGCCAGGCCGGAGTGACTTAAGGTGAGGACTCCAGGTTCTGTGGACACGAGTCTCTGGGCTGTCCTGTTTTCTTTGGGGGCTTCTCTTATTTCTGAAAAACTCTTTTTGACAAACTCCATCCTTCTGTCAGCTCAAATAAGGGATTTGTCCACACTGAGATCAGGATCTAGTGCCATTGAGGAAACGTGTTATAAGTTTCCACCATGCGCAGCATCCCAGGACGGGGCGCTGATGATGTGGGTCTTGCCCTCCAGAATTTGATCACCGGGAAGGCTGGAGGAGCCTGAGCTCCAGGACACAGCTGAGGGCTCAGCAGGCAGAGGCTGAGCCCCACTGGCAAGCGGTACATACTCCCAGGCCTTCCAGGTGGCCCATGACCACCTGCCCATCGTTCTGCTCCCTTTAGCTTTATTGCTGCTTCGGCCCCAGGCTTTATTTCCCATCTCACTCATCTCCTTCTAAAGCTCCCAAGAGCATCTGCTGCCTGACACTTACAGTTTCTAGCCTTTGGAGCCTCCCCAGGTTATATGTTGCCATCTCCAGCCATAGACAGGCAGGACTTTGCCCTCTCCTGTCCCCCATTGCTCCCACCTCTCTGCACAAGTCAGTGCAAATCAGAGAATGCTTAGAGGTCCAGGCACTGTGCTGGGCACTGGAGACCCAGAGCCAATGTAGTCCCAGGAGCTCCCAGGTCCATGGGAAACGTTCACCAATCCTTAGCAGAGGGAAAATGCCATTGAGAGAGCCCTTTCAGGAGGAGATTGGAAATCTGGAGAGGCTTCTTGAAGGAGGTGGCATTTGAATAGGGTTTGACAGAGGAAGATGCAGAGGAGGATTCTCCAGAATAAAAGAAGAGGGTGGAAAACGCTGGGTTACCATTGAGACGAGGGTAATGTGACCAGAAAGATAAGCTGTCTCGAAAGCCCAAAGGCAGGGGTTTGGCCTTGCTTCAGTAGGCAAAAGTAGGGAGCCACTGACAGGCCTCTCCCCTTCCATGGTGCCTACCTGCCCACCATGCCCTGGAGCCCTGGTTCCATCTGTTTCTTCCACTACCCACACCTTGACATCATGGTCCCTGCCCTCCCCAACGCCTCCTTCTAGAATGGGAAACTGGAGAGGGAAGGATGGGGTGCTGATAGGAGGCCTGAGGCCTGGGCGGGGCTGGGCAGGCCTCACACCCGTTCCCATCCCCGACCCTTTGCAGTTCATTCTCATCTTCACGGTGATCCAGTACCAGCCAATCACTTACAACCACTACCAGTATCCAGGCTGGGCTGTGGCCATCGGCTTCCTCATGGCTCTGTCCTCCGTCATTTGCATCCCACTCTACGCCCTGTTCCAGCTCTGCCGCACAGATGGGGACACCCTCCTCCAGGTGAGGGGTGGGGGCAGGGGGCAGCCAGGTGAAACAGGCGGGGCTGGATGGATGGGGCTTAAGGTCTCCCTTCTGACACGCCCCGCCCACCTCTCCTGCAGCGTTTGAAAAATGCCACAAAGCCAAGCAGAGACTGGGGCCCTGCCCTCCTGGAGCACCGGACCGGGCGCTACGCCCCCACCATACCGGCCTCTCCTGAAGACGGGCTCGAGGTCCAGCCGCTGCACCCAGACAAGGCCCAGATCCCCATGGTGGGCAGTAACGGCTCCAGCCGTCTGCAGGACTCCCGGATATGAGCACCACTGCCAGGGGCGGGCCCCCCCCCCCCCCCCTGTGCTCCCACCACAGAGACTGGTGAGGCAGTGGACAGGTGTCTCTATCTGCCCCTGCCACGCCCTGGCCAGGGTGGCTGCTGTCACCTTGGCTACCACTGCTAGCCGGTCATTCGTGCTCGTGTCCCCAGTGTTTACAGGTCCTTTGGATGCCAAGATGGCAGCTGGGGCTGTAGGCGATGGGATGGTTGCTGGGGGGCCCAAAGCACTTTGGAAGGGTCTTGGTCCAGGTCCCCAGAGGCCTGCCGGGCCTTATGTGGCCTCTGATGCCCCCATTCTCTGCCCTAAACTGAGGTTCTGGGTGGGTCCCCTACCTAGCGCCCTCGTTGGGCCCCCAGCCTCCTGACCAGTGTTCCTGCCCTCAGAGCAGATCCCAGCCTCTGCCCAGGCAAATCTGGATCTTCCTACCTGGGGGCAGGGTGAGGGGCTAGGGGGCTGTGCAGTGTTACTTGTAAGGCAGTCCCGCCCAGCCCTGTTTGTCTGTGTGATTATTTTTGTAAAAATTGTATTATCTGTGGTTGCCACTCCCTTGCCCCCAGCCTCAGGCCCCATCTGTCTTCCAGGCCTGCCTGCACCTCACTCAGGGCTGCTCTGGGGTCTCTGCGCCTCATTCTGGCCCGGCTGTCAGGCCCAGCCAGCAGAGGCCCCTGACCCAGCAGCCTGCCCAAAGCACTAGTTTCTGGGGGGCAGGGGTGGGGTGCTGCTCAGCAGGAAGTTTGAGCCCAGAGCCCTGGGGAAGGGGACCCTACACAACAGCCCCTTGCCCGCCCTCCACCAGGGCTGCCCTTGTTCATGTGCCAAATGGCCCCAGCCCGCGTGCCCCACCCCCTCTCTGGAGCCACAGCTCCTTCCCCCAAGCCCTGCAGTGTCCGTTCGTCCGTCCTCTGTGCCCCTCTGTGCAGTGACAACCCCGGAAGAGCCGCCTCTAATCCTCTGTAGCAATAACGGTGCACCGCCCAGCCCTGCCCATCGTGCACCACTAGGATTTTAAAGTCCATAGATTTTAATGAAATTTCTATTCCTGTCTCTGAGCTGCTGCTGTGCTTTGTCTGGGTCCCCCAGGGGGACTGAAGTCAGGGCTGCAATGAGACCTCTGCCTGCCAGGCCTTTGTGGAGGCTGGGACCAGATACTAGGAACCTGGTAATGGGGTGGGGGGAGGGCCCAAGAGGACAGCCTCGGGGTCCTGGCGAGACTGGTTCTGAAGCGGCTGGGCCATGGCAGCTGAGAGGTGGCAGCAGCAGATGGGGCGAGTTCCAGCAGAAGCCAAAGCCTCCGTCATGGCCAGCCCTTCAGGTTGGGGCCTGGGGCGCTGCACTGGACGCTGGAGTGGAAGCTGGCTTTTCCCTGGGGATGCACTGAAGCTTCCGTCCCCAGCGGCAGGCGACGGCCAGGCCCCGCGGGCGGGGACAGTGCTCCAGAGGAGGAGCAGGTAGGCAGCGCTGGGGAGGCCTGCCCCAAACTCCAGCGGCCCCACGGAGGCAAGGCAAGGGTCTGAGGTCCCGACCGGAGGACCCTAGGGGCTGCAGCCTGAACAGGAAGGAAGAGCTGAGGGCTATGGCCGGACCCTTCGCCCACCCTGTCCAGCCGTCCCTCTGCCCTGTTTACCTGTGGCTGGGAGAGACGCAGGAAGGCCTCAGGGGTGCCTGTAGCTCCTGTTGCATGGCTGCCTTCTGCTCCTTTAGCTCTGGACGAGAGATGAATCTGAGACACAGCACCCAGCTCTCCCGGGGTGTGTAGGAGTGTGTGGCAGGGAGCAAGAAGCTGGGGGCTCTGGGGCCTGCTCAGGGGCCTCACCTGCCAGGGTGGGCTCCAGGGTTGCCTCGGAGGGCTGGGGGCCCCCTGTATACTCCTCTTCCAGGCAGCGCTGCAGGGAAAGCTGGCTCAGTGCCCCAGCCTCATGGCAGGAGTGGGGTGGGGCAGGGCAGAATGCAGAGGCCAAGATCCCCGTGGCAGGGCCCAGGAACCACCCCATGCAGCCCGTCATCCCGAGCACCTGAGGGCAGTCCCTAGGGGGAACACCAATCCCCCCTGAAAGCTGAGCTTGGGGAGGTGGTGGCTGATCTTGACTCAGACTTAGGGAAGGAAAGGAGGCAAAAAACCAGGAGCAAATCCAGCGGGTTAATCTAAAAATGCTGACCTTGGACTTAAGGGCTTGACCAGAATCTTGGGCTTCTGGATTCACACACCCAAGAAGCGTGCACACGTGAGGAATGGACACAGGACTCACACAAACTTTACATGCATACGCACACACAGACACACGTGTATGGGGGTCTCATATACTAGGTGAGAAGTGGGTGTGTCGACACTCAGCAGAAGGCTGTGGTGGGCAGGGGAGGGGGGCTGCAGCTCACCTGCAGGATGGGGATCTCCCTCTCCAAGGCGCGACACTCCTCCTCCAGGAGGCTCCTGGGACACATGTGAGTGTGGCAGCCAGAACCAGTGCCACAGGACGGGGCTCAGCTGAGCCCTCCACACAGCCCCAACCTCCAGCCTCACCAAGAGCCCCCTCCAGGCCCTCCTTTTTCAGCCCATCTTGCCCTCCCCCGCTCAGGGGGCTGCTCCAGCACAGCCTACCAGCCCCGCCAGCCTCTTCTTTGGCAGGACACGTCCTCTTCTTTCCCACTTCACAGTGCCCACTCCCCTCGGCACTCCCCCCAGCCCCGGCAGGCACCACTCTCTCTTCTGCACCACTGCACTGGGCCTGTGACTCCTCCTGCCTCCATTCTCCCCCATAGCACAGCCCTTCCTCTGCTTAAAACTCTTCTGTGGTCCCCCCCTGCTTCAGGATGAAAATCCTCAGGCCATGGCCCCTGCTGGCACCCGAACTTGGCAACTTCCTGGCAGCAACCTCGCCAGCCCCAGAGCAACGCCCTGCCCTGTCCACCTCTCAGCCCTCCTCTCATGGGTCTCCCCACCAGGTATGCTGCCTCCCTTCCCCCCCTCACAGGCCTAGTACTTCCAGATCTGGCCCAGTCCCTTCCTCCCCGTCTCCACCCCCACTACACACACTCAGGGGCCTCACCGCAGGTGTCCAGCAACCTGGTCAATGCTGGACACGTTCAGTCGGTCCTTGATGATGCTGAGGTCCTGGGGACTGCTGCTGGCGGATGAAGTCAATATCACTCTCCCCATGTTGCCTCACCCCAGGCCTTCAGGACACAAAGGCCACTTCTCCTAGACAATTTTGTGTCTTTTCTCACAAAGGCAACATAATATAGTACAAAGAGGAGGAGTTCTGGACGCTGGGCTTGCAAATGGGCTCTGCCACTCTTCACTCTGTATGACCTCGGGCAAACCGATTATCCTTCCTGAGCTTTAGTTTCCTCATCTGCAAAATGGGGACATCACCCCCCTCACAGGGTTGTGTAAGAATTAGAAATAAGTTGCTGCCATTCACTTCATATGAACACGCTCCTGCTCATTTATCTCATTCAGTCCCCAGACCTCGCTCCTGTTCTCCAAGCCTGAGGAACAAGTGACCACTGGACACAGCCTCCCTTCCTCCCACCCATGTTTGCATATACTGCTCCCTCTTCCTGCAAAGCCCTGCCTGGAAATCTGTTCCTCATACTCCAAGAACAGATCAAACCAGTTACTTTCTTCAGGAAGCCTTGCCTGCCCCCAGGCTGTCTCCTGGATTTCTGCAGCCCTCATGTGCTGATCTCTACCACAAGTGGCTGTAGAAGTGTCCAGCCCCAGGTGAGGAGCTCCTCCATGGAGCCAGGTGGGACCCACCAGTTGGCTGGGGCCCTCAGCCAAGCAGGGACATATCCCACCTCTCCTACCACCACTCTACCTGAGTTCACCAGCTGTCATCTGGAATATCCCCTGTTCCAGCAAATCACACCTGGGCTCCTCCAAGGCAAAGCGCAGGACCCTGGGGCTATACTGGACCCAAGCCTGGGTCTGGTCCCTGCATAAAGTGCACAGAAAGGAAACTCAGGGGCTCCTTCCAGGGAACCAACCGCAGGAAAGGTGACCCTGGCCCTTTGACAGGTGCAAGGCTAACCCATCTGAGTTCTGCGGACCAGGCCCAGCCCCAGGTCTGAGGCTCCCACCTGCCCTCGAAGATGGCCTTCTGGCGGAGAGCTTGGAGCAGCTGCCGCAGTTCCTGGCGCACGAGGTCTCTTAGGAGGCGTGGTGGCGCCAGAAGAGAGGAGGGGTCAGAGGTGGGGCAGGAGCCAGGGGCTTGGGAGGATCGAGCCTCTCGGAGCAGAGACCGTAGCATCACCACCTGCAAGGAGAGCTGGGACACCTTGCGACCGGGGAGAGAGGTGACAGGAGTCGGGGCATTGGGGGAGTGAGGGGCAGGGAGGAATCAAACTGGAGTGTGCTGTGCGGACAGTGAGATCTGACAAGTTCTCGAGAGTTACTGCAGGGCCAAGGGCCTGGAGGAGGTGGGGAAATCACTCGAGTTGTGGGACAGGCCTGGGGTGTGCACCTTCCCACTCCCCACCTCTGTCCGCAGCTCCAGGCTCAGGTCCACCGTGGTCTCCCCCAGAATCCTCTTCACTTCAGGCCTCTCCAGGAGCGGAATGTGCTCCTCCACCAGCTCCCACAGCGACGGGGAGTCCCGAGGCATGGCCTGCCCGCGCCGCCGCCCGGGACGCGCGGCCCCCGGCTCGGACCTGCGGGACAGCCCCAGAGCGCGGGATCACAGGGAGACGCCTGCCCCCGGGGCTGGGCCACGCCCGCTCACGCCCCGCCCCTTCCCGGCCTCCCAAGGCCACGCCCCCAGCTTCCCCGACGCCCCACCCTCGTTCCGCCGCCAATCCCACGACTGGAATTACCCGGTCCAGAGTCGCCGCTTTCTGGCGCTCTCCCGCCCGGCTCCTGGCTGACTCTCAGCATCCACGGCTCCGGGTCACGGCCCCCAAGAGCCGGGCAATGCGGGCCAGGGCCCTAGCCCCGCCTCTTCCGCGCGGCCGTCACCCAGGAAACGGTACCACCACCCAGGCCCCGCCCCCACAAGGCCCCGCCCCTGCCTATTCCGGGTCTGGAGGGCGGCGCCGGCTTGTGGAGAGTCGCACGCACAAGGCGAGGTGAACGGTTTTGAAGTCTGAACCACCCCCACAGAGCCCTGACCCCAAGCACCTTGGGCTCATCCCTGGGCGCCTTGCGGCTTCGGGGCAGGTGAAAGAACCGAGAAATCTGAGCCCACTGGGTTTATTACTTCGTTGCCTATTCTGGCCCGGAGGCAGCAGCAGAGTAAATCTTTCCCCTTAGGGCGGACGAAGCCTAAGGAACGGCTGCACCTGGAGAGGCCTGGGGAACCAGGACAATCCAGACCGGAACGATAGGTTGGGCCAGGCGCCCTCCCACAACACACTCAGGGTCTGGGTCAGGGACCCAGATCCCATCCCCAGACAGACAAAGGGAGTGCTCCATTCACGTTTTTTACTAAAGCACCCACACAAGTTTCTGTGCAATGTACAAACACGAGCCGGCCCTGGGGCTACTGCCTTCTCTCTGAGGCAGGGAGGCGGGAACCAGACTGATCCAACCCACACTCGCCCCCCCATGCAAAGCCCAACTCCAAGATCCCAGGCAGCGACACAGCACCCCCTCTGGTCCCCTCCCGGGGCTGCTCCTCAGCAGGGGGCGCCCCACAGTTTGCCCCTACAATGTTGAATGAAAAAGGTTTCCCCTCCCCTGGGAGCATGGGGGATCCCCAGGTCCGAGAATTCCCCCTGGAAGTGACACTGCCCCCTAGTCATACCTCCCACTCTTCCAGGCCCTAGGAGACTCAAGGGGGGGAAACTGAGGCACAGAGAGGTAGAGTGACCTAGCCCAGGCCACTCGGCGAGGCAGTGCAGGGGCTGGCCCGACCCTGACAGTGAGGGGGGTTGGGCTGGGGAGGGAGGGGGGAAGGAGGGTTGACCCCAGAGAGGGCCACACTTGAGGGGCCTGCCCAGGACGGAAGCCCCCCAAAGTAGGTTCTGAAACTTCCAGGTGCAGCTGGGGGGCCTACTGAAGACCCTCAGAAAACAAAGCCCACAGTCTCAGTCCTGGCGAATTCCCCGAAGAGCAGCCGCCAGCCAGGCTGTCAGTCAGTCCTCTGGCAGGCAATCCTTGGCACTGGGAGCCTTTGTCCACTAGTGTCAGCCCCGAGGGGGCCGCCCAATGTCCACTGTGATATTGGTGAAGAGTGGCTGCCGAGACACCTCCAAAACCCGGTACCGCACTGACGCAATGCCGTCCCGCTTCATGCTCAGCTTTGTGTTTTGAATCTTGGTAAACCTAGATAGGACGGAAGTGGGTCCAGATCAGGGTAACCAACTCCCATATGGGATCCCTGGGGCCAAGGCTCAAGCCATCCTGGCTTCCTCCAGGGGTGACTTGGTTCTCCTTGCCATCCCCTCTACCCTCCACCTGCCTGGAGCCCTTTTGCTTTTGCATCTTCCCTTAAAACAGAGGTCTCACCCCCTTGAGTCCGGAATTCTGACACCTTCACAAATCTTTCTCTCATTTCAGAGCTTCCTTCTAAGCCTCAGACCCAGACATGTGGCATCCCATATGCACCTCAAATGCAATGTGTCCTGTATCAGATGCATCACGCTTTCTCCCCAAACCCACCATCTCTGTGCCATCTTCTCTGTTCCTCATCCTTTAGTCACTCTTTCACTATCTATTTACTGAACAGTCCCATATGCCAAGCTCTGCTCTAAGCACCAGGGACACAGCCATGAACAGGACAGCAAGGTCCTTCCTCTCATGGCAAGTCTATTCCACTAGGGGGGACAGTAACAGACAAGAAACACATCAGAGTGCTCAGGGAGATAGGAGGGAGAGACCAAGATGACTGCCCTGGAAGGGGTGAGGATGTGACATCAAGTTGACAGCAGGGGTAAGAGCATTCCAGGAAGAGGTAATAGCACACGCTGACCCTGAACTGGCAATAAGAATCTGCACAGCTGAGTGGCTAGGGCCTAATGGGCCAAAGGGAAAAACAGAGTAAGATTAGCTTGGAGGTTAGAGCATGTACGGGCAGGGCTCTGTAAGCCAGAGGAAGCAGGTTTTTATGCTGTGAGTGAGAAGACACTGAAGGACTTTTAGTCCAGTTTGGGGTGGGGGCGGGGTCAGCAAGTAAGCAACGGGACAGGGAACATGAACTACAGAGGGCAAGGGGAAAGCAGGGAAACCAGCGAGAGGTAACTGCAGTGTTCAAGCAAGATGACAGAGGCTACACTAGGCAGAGTGGGAAAGGGAAAGTAAGGGGCTCAGGTATGCTCTGGGGGTGGCACTGACATGATGGCTGATGGTGTGGACATGCAGACTGAGGGAAAGAAGCAGCCAGGATAATGCCTAGATTTGAGGCAAAAGCAACACGGTGGATGGAACCACCACCACAGAGTTCCGTAAGCCAGAAATGTCTGGCTCTCTTGCCCCTTCCCCACCCAAGGCAGACATCACTAATTGATGATGGCATCTAGACCTGCTATTTCTGAAACAGGACCAAGAGCTCCACTCCCACCCTCATCCCACCTGTTCTGACCCTCCCAGTCCTTCTGAGGTCAGCTCAGACTCCTCTCCTGACCGACACTGAGCGCTTTCCTTCAGATTTCCTGAAGGCCCCCTCCTCCTAGTCCGTAGACCCTGCCCTGATCCCCATGGTTTTTATCTGAACTGCTTTTTCATCAGCTCTCTGGACGCCCGGAGCTTCACGCTTCTGCCAAACATCACCCCTACATCACTGCTACAACCTACCTCCCCCACTCTCACACCCTGGCTCCAGAGCAGAACAACCCTACTGCTCCAGCTGGGGCCACAGCAGCCTCACACCCAGCACACACCCTGGGCCCCATGGACTCCCTCAGGCCTGGTCGGCTTCCCTCCTGCTCCACCCAGCAGCTCTGCCAGCCCTTCACCTTCTTTGAACCCAAAGGGTGATCCTTCCATACCCAAATCTGATCCTGCCCCACCCTGCTTAAAGCCCTTCCAGGCTCCCCAGTGCCCCTGGGACAAGAGAGAAACTCCCAACCTGGGATTTGAGACCCACAACACCCAACACTGACCCCTCTGCTGTCACCCCCAGCCTTCAGAGACTGTAATGCCAGACTCTCAGACTCTTGGCATATACCGTGTGCGTTCACGTTCCAGATTCCTATAAATACTATTCCTTTTATCAAAACTGGTCTCCATTAGGCTAGTGAATACAGCACTGTACCCAAGGCAATGACAAACATTTGGTGAACGAATAACTCTTTTCAAACTCCAGTTTACCATCACCTCCTCTAGGAAGCCCCCGACCATCACTCCCTCTTCTGCCAGGACAGCACCTTGCCCTGATCACCTTGTGCTGGCACTGCCTATCTCCTTCCCTAGAACAAACCTCACGTGGGATATCCAGCAGGGATTGGGTATGACTGTTCTGGACCCCCTCACCACAAGGTTTGGCACCAGACAGTCCCAGAGCAGCGTCAGGAAGCCCTGTCTAACTCGCCATAAGCCTTCAGGCCCTTCCAGCCAGCACCAGACTCCGAGTGTCGCTGCATCCTCAGAGGCGGAGCCGCTTACTCCAGTCTCAGAAGGCTCAGCAGTGTCTTTCCACTCCCTGCCCCACACCGCTCAGGCCACCTTTGGTGGGTCCCCAGGCCCAGAAGCTGTGTCCAGTGCCTGCCAGCTCTCGTCCTACCTACTCTGGCACAAGTGAGGTCTGTGAGGGCCGCGGTGGGAATGCAGTCTACTCAGTGATGACTTGAGCCTTTAAAGTTTAGTCACCGCCAGGGATCAGGCCAGGGGTGAGAGATGTCTGAGGGGAGGCTGAGCTGTGGGTTGGGAACAGGGATCAGGGGTACCAGGAGTCATCTCTAGGAGTCAAGGGTCAGGGGTGTTTGGGTCACCTCTGGGGATCAGTGCCACTGGGGAGTCACCTCTAGGGAGTGAGGAGTGGGGGCACTTGGGGTCAGGGGTTCTGGGGGTCACCTCTGAGGGTTGGGCTCGTTATGCTTGTCCCGGTCGTGCTTGATCATGCGGTATCGGCCTATGCTGATGTCTGGGCGCGAGATCTTCATCCCAGTCAAGGAGATCCTGGGGACGGGGACAGATGGACTGGAACAGGCACCAGGAAGGGCAAGAAGCCCCGCCCAGTCTGCGCCCACCCTCTTGCACACCCAGTCTACTCCCCACCCATCTCTCCTCACCGGTTGAAGATGTCGTCATCCTCACCACCCCAGCCCCAGTACTCGTTGGGGAAGCCGTTGATTCTCAGGAACTGGGCTTTGCTCAAGCCCGACACGCCTCCAAAGTAGCCAGCATAGGGCAGCCTATGGCACGGGAGGGCAGGTGTCAGTGAGGGGCCCAAGGGGATTCCAGACGGAGGGCCAGGGATTGGGCAGAGTGTGTGTAGGGGCCAGGAGCAAGGGCGTCCTGGGCTGGGAGCGAGGGCCTGGGTCTGGCGGGGGAGTTGGGGATGGTGTTGGTGTGGAGGTCTGGGTCCAGCTGAGAAGGGAACCCGCACCGGAAGCCGAACTTGTCCATGGCAATGGCAAAGTGGCGCGGCTGGTTGCCACAGCGGTACAGATTGCGGTCATCCATGGGGACCAGGTCCACGTCACTGAAGATGAAGCAGTCGTAGGTGGCGTCCTCCTTCAGTGCCTCTAGAAAGCCCACGTTGAGCAGCTTGGCCCGGTTGAAGGTGTCCTCACCATGCTGGGGTTGGCGGAGGGGACAGGTCAGCTTTGGGCCTGTGACTTTACCACTATCCAGAGCAGTCCCAGGGGGCCTACTCCCTGCCCAGCTCCATGTGGTTCCCTCAGACTCTCAGGATGAAGTCCAGCTCCTTACCCTGAACCTGGCCTTCCAAGGCCTTTCACAATTTGGCTCCAGTCTCCTCTCTGGCCACTGCCCTCACACCTCAAGGCCCAGCTACACTACATTCCTAGCAGCCCAAGAACATGCTAGACTCTTTCTTGCCTTGAGGCCTCAGTGTTGGCGGTTCCCCCTGCCT